CCCAAATCCGGGGGGGGGGGCCTGCCTGACACATCTTCCCTCTCGGGCCCTACTCCCCAGTTTCTGCCAGAGAGATATCACCAGCCCCCAGCTCAAATATTGGCTCCTCCCTGCACCCCCCTTCCTCCCTCTCATGTGGTCAACTCCTAGAGCTGCTCCCGTCTTCCTTATTCCCCTGGGGCCACCGTGTCCTCCTGGCCCCTTGCACTTCCCACATGTCAGCAATTTCTCCCTTGGATGCCCCGCTCTGGGCCTCCCTCATTTGTATCCGTCAGACATAAGCTAAAGCAGACTCCACTCTCATTTATGCCTCCCCAGCTGAAGAACCACTGAAGGCTCCCTATTGTCCCTACTGTCAAGATCAAAGACTTCAGTGGAGCCATCAAAAGCCCTCCACCTCCTGCCTCGGGCCTCATCCTCCCCACTGGCAAGCCCAGGAAGGAGGAATGAAATGGGCCTGTTCTCTGTCTCGACACTCAGACCCTTCTCTGGGATTTTGGAAAATGCCATCGTTCCCAGCCTGGACTGCCTTCTTGTCCACCTGCCCCCTCCCATTCACGCTTCAAAGATTCAAACACTCAAGTCTACCACCTGCTCCGGCCCTCGGCGTCTTCTCCTTCCTCATCGCACAATCTGGCCCTTGGTGAGAGAGCAGCCTTCTCCCTTGGCCACTGTCCCACACGTACTTATCTTGTCTCTCCATTTTTTCCCCAAGGGCAGGAAGACGGTCAGGTATCACATAAAGCTTCACTAAATATGTGACTCATGGGACTTCATTGCCCAGATTCCTGGTTTTCCAAAAATCTTTTTCAGCAGAGCCCCTTTTTGCCAGACAGAATCATACGTGAAAACCCAATATGAAAAAAAAAAAATGACATTAAAAACAGAACAAAGCAGATTTCTCTAGTTTGAGCAAAGACCGGGGTTCCTGACCTGCTCCCAGCCTCCCAAAGCTTTTTGGGGGAATACAGTTTGAGAAACACTGACCCTGCTGCACATTCTTTTTTTTTCACATTCAAATATCTCTTTGTTGGGGCACCTGGGTGGCGCAGTCGGTTAAGCGTCCGACTTCAGCCAGGTCACGATCTCACGGTCCGTGAGTTCGAGCCCCGCGTCAGGCTCTGGGCTGATGGCTCAGAGCCTGGAGCCTGTTTCCGATTCTGTGTCTCCCTCTCTCTCTGCCCCTCCCCCGTTCATGCTCTGTCTCTCTCTGTCCCCAAAATAAATAAACATTGAAAAAAAAATTTAAAATATCTCTTTGGGGGGCCCCTGGGTGGCTCAGTCAGTTAATCCTCCGACTTTGGCTCAGGTCACGATCTTGTGGATCTTGTGTGAGTTTGAGCCCCGCGTCAGGCTCTGTGCTCACAGCTCAGAGCCTGGAGCCTGCTTCGGATTCTGTGTCTCCCTCCCTCTTTGCCTCTCCCCCATTTGTGTTCTGTCTCTTTCTCTCTCTAAAAATAAATAAAACATTAAAAAAATGTTTTAAATTCTTTTAATATACATTTTGGGGGGGCGCCTAGGTGGCTCCGTCAGTTAAACGTCTGGCTCTTGGTTTTGGCTCAGGTCATGATCTCATGGTTTGTAGATTCAAGCCCCACATTGGGCTCTGTGCTGACAGGGCAGAGCCTGCTTGGGATTCTTTCTCTCTGCTCCTCCCCTGCTCATGCTCGCTCTCTCTCAAAATAAATACTTAAAAAAATATATATTTCTTTAGTTTTTTTTTCCAGCTTTACTGAGATATAACTGACATTTTTTTTAAGAAGTGAGCTTTTTTTTTTTTTTACAGGAAGTGGAACTTATTGGTGGGCATGAATAGGGAGGGACAGAGCCAAGATTCTCGTGAATGCAGAGCCCAGCAGTTGTCCAAGGGGCCACGATTAGGGATGTATTTGACCCCCAGCCATCTGGGATGAGCCGCTTTTCGGCCACCACGTCTACAAATTCATCCACAATAAACTGAGTAAAGCCCCACTTCTTGGGAATGTGGATCTTCTGGCGGCCAGGGAACTTGAACTTGGCCCTGTGTAGGGCCTCGATCACAGACTCCTTGTTCTGCAACTTGGTACAGATGGACATGATGACTTGGCCGATGCGGACCTTGGCCACCATGACCGGGGGCTTTCCAAAGGTGCCCCGTCCCCCCACACCGCATACCCGTCTGGAGCCTAGACCGGAGACATGAGGCCAAACCTCAATGTCCACTGGGAAAGGCTGTCCCCATAGTCCCTTAGGGCAGCCTATACAATCGACAGGCTGCATACACCACCAAGGAGGCTGCTGTTTGCAGCCGTGGCACCCTGGGTCCCTGTGGGGAAAGAGCACAGTCGGCTTAACCGGCTGCTGAGCCTGCTGCAAACTTTTAAGTGTGGCTGTCAGACTGCTTCACGAGCCGGCTTTGTCTCATCTGACCGGCCCCTCCTCTTCCCACGTTGCAACCATTCAAAGTCCTGGCTGCTCCAGAAAATACCACAGGCTCCCCTTCTAAGCCAGGGGTCTGCGGAGCACAGCCTGCGGGTCCAGTCCAGCCTGTGGCCTGGTTTTGTGTGGCCCTGGAGCTAAGAACGGTTTTCACGTGTTTAAAGGACTGAAGAAAAAGAAGGAGGAGGAGGAGGAGACCGCGTGGTAACCAGCACCTAAAACATCTGCTACCTGGTCCTTTACAGAGAAGGCGAGTTGACTGCTGGCAAACCTTCAGGGCCCGCCCCTTCGCCCAGGCCATTCCCTCGGCCCAGAATGCCCTCGCCCGGCTTTCACCGGCGTTTAGTGAACTCTACTCATCCTCAAGGCCCCCAAACTATTGCCTGCGAGCCTCTGCCTCAAGGCTCCCTAGCCACGACTGCACCTGTTGGGCCTCAGCTGGGGGGATGCCCATCCCCGGGCCTGGCCCGCAAGGACAGGCCCCGTCTCACCCGTCTTCGTGCCCCGGCCTGCTGCCAGGCACGCCGCAGGGTACAAGGAACACGACAGACACACACACCGCCTCGGCCCCTCCCCGCCTCCACAGACTCCCCGGCTGCACCCACCTCATCCTGTAGGTTGATGTCCCCGGGCCCACGGTTGAGCTGCTCCTGCAGGCTGGACACCACTGCATTGTTACCAGGCACTCGGTAAATGCCCGTGGACTCCAGACCCCGTGCCTCCACGATGCGACAGCACGCAGCCACGATCAAGGGGACCCGCTGGGGACAGGCAGGGCAGACGTGTTAGGAAGGTAAGAGGCAGGATTCCCCACCGGTGAGCCAGAAGAGGGGGGAAGGCCAAGACGGCAGCAGTGCACGGCCGGAGCTGCTGCCTGGGGGCCCCATGCAGGGGAACAGAAGGCCCTCACCGTCTCCGGGCACCAGAGCCTCACCACAGTGGGCACGGGAGCACTGACCGGAGGGTGGGGATTCCGGGCTCTGCCTCAGTTCTGCTGTTCCCTCCCTGGGCTCTGCCCCCCGACAACCCCCACAACCACGGTGCCTCTAAGATGAGGTGGAGAGCTGGTTCCAAAGTCCCTCACAGCTCTGACCCTCTGTGCCTTGGTCTGCCCCCTTCTCTGCCTGTCCTGGGGTACGGCGGGGGCTCACCTGGTTCTCTATGGCTGGTTGGCACTCCTCCAGACGGACCCCAAACGCCCTAGGAGCTGCCTTCTTGTTCTTCTTGATGATGTTGATGCCCCATGGGGTTTTGGGAGTGGCAGCACTGTCATCTGGGGTCGGAGAAGGCAGACAAAGTCAGGGTGAGCGGGGGTCGGGGGCAGCAGGGGAGGGGCAGCAGCCACACTTGGTCACACACACCCACCCATGTTTGGACATGTGGGGACTCCATCAGAAAGGCAACTGGAATGCTGAGGGCTGATGGGAAATTATATCCTGAGAGAAGGCCTCAGAGATGAGGGGGTTTATTCCTGAGGAGTCAGCCCTCGGAGGAAAGTAAGGACTTCTATATGGCCTCGAGGGCTAAAACAACAAGGTGGGGGTCGCAGATTCTGATACAACCAAAGAAAGAACTTTCTAATAGTCGAAAGCGTATAAAGAGGGGAAAGGCCGCCTCCAGAGAGGATGAGCCTCCTGCTCCTGAAGGGACACAGGCAGGGACTTGGAGAACACCCAGCTGGGATGTCACGGAGGGAAATCAGGTTCCAGGCCCTTCCAGCCCTAAGATTCTGGAAGCCCCTAGACCCTCACAGGCATACACACACAGACTGACATACCAGGATAATCCTGGCACACATCCAGCCCAACACATGCACACACACACACACACACACACACACACACACACACAAGCCCTTGGCTCCCATGTAGACCCACAGA